GAATCCAACCACACTCTTCCCTTCCTAGATATCATATTATACAGAAGCAACAGTGAACTCAATTTTGACGATTACCGTAAAGCTAACAAAAAAACAATCTAGTCAACTTCTACTCAAACCACTTTTATATAATTAAATCTGGTATAATTATACGTTTCTACATAATTGTATTAATTGCAGCCCCAATGCCTACCCAAAGAAGAAACTCACATAAAAAACACATTCAAAAACCTCCAATATATCTATGACTTCATCCACAACGCAAGGCACAAAAAATATTCGACCGCAAAAACATTATGCACAATAATAAATTAAACAAAAACAGATACATAATACTACCTGCCAATTCTATAACACCCACTACTCAAAATACTTTATCCCATCTAAACAACATCCAAATAGTCACAATTACTCCCAAAACGGTCATGGATATAATTAGATCTGAAAGTCGCCATAACAATAATAAATCAGAAGCTGGCTTATGTAAAATAAATTACTTAGACTGTTCCTTACAATATCTTGTAGAAACCTGCAGAATTTAAAAAAAAAAAGATTTATCTATGGATACAAAAGAGACTTCATAAATAACAATTTAACAAATGTACATAAATATATTCGACAACAACTTTGATTTAAAAAATGACACATCAATGAAAAGAAAAAGTAATTTACTCGGAAGGAAATTACTCGAAAGTACTGTTATCGAATATATCAAAATATCATTCTACGTCCAGGGTTTTTCCCAATCTCACGTTTTCTGAAGGAATTAATACTTCCCCACACCAACGTACACAACAAATTGTTGAAAAATCAAAGGAAAACGGTTGAATTCATTATTTCAGCTTTTGCACATGTATAACACAAACGTCCACCTCATACTTCAATCTAAGCAGTATTCTTTTTAAAAAAAAAAAAACTTCTTTTCGCGTTTAATATATGACATAATCTAAGGTAGAAATGCCTCGAGATTTCAGTTAACCTGATGAACATTTATGAGCGTCTTAAATTTAAAAAAAAATCTTATGTATGACATATTCTAACCTCTAACATCTAAACTTTTTAGTTTACCTGATGAATATTTATAAGTGTTTTTTAAATTTAAAAATTTTGAGTAACTGTTAAATAGATACTTGTGACAAAATAAAATTTTCTTCATAAAGTATTTTGGATGAGGAAACGCGTCTTTCTTTTTATGTACCATATACTTTCAGGACGTAGGTGATCAAGGCTCTCCACCTCTCTCTACCCCCTGCAGCTCTCAGCAAGCTCCTTCCTTCTGCTTCCTCCCCAAACCACGTTCTGTCATCCAGCTGATCAAGCTCGTCAGGTATGTCACGCTCCGATTTCCCTTGTCTCTCTTTCACTCTATTTGACCCGTGAGAATCAGATCCTCCTTTCTCATTATGCGTCCCAGAAAATCAGCTGCCTCTTTCTGATGTTAAGTATAAGCCTCCTCCTTGTTTGTAACCTAAGACCTCATCGTTGCTGACATGCTCGGTCCATGATATCCTTAGCATCCTTCTGTAGAACCATATCTCCATCGCCTCGATTCTCTAGTTCACCTTTGAGGAAATCATCCAACATTCGCTGCCGTAAAGAAGAACAGACAAAGTATAGTGTTACTATTTTTTTATTATATATATATATATATATATATATATATATATATATATATATATATATATATATATATCGTTTTGCACAATTTTGTAGATGTTAGCTTATGTTATCATACCGGAAATACCATCTATAAGACATATACGAAAAGTTGCAAAGAGTGATGTACGTAGATTTCTTAAAATAGTAACTGAGTCTTGTTTAATATATACAGGGTGTGCCAAATATCATGCTACAATTGTCATTAAATGTACACTTTGGAAGTAGCAGCCAGAGCAAATTTGCATGACATCATCTTCTATAATTAGACTAATAAAATTTCCTAATAATATATTTTCAAATTCAGAAACATTATTTAATTCGGTAGATAAATATAAAATTTACAAAGCTTTCCTTGGACAGTGCAACTTTTCGATTACCCTGTTTATATATATATATATATATATATACTAGCAGTAGAGCCCGGCGTTGAGGACGGCTGTTGCTTTGAAAGCTATGCTTTGTAATTCAACAGGAACTAAGTTTCTACAAAACGTTGAAACGCAATGCACACAAAGTTTAAGCACACATCATGGAGGCCCAAGTATTCGAAAGTTTCGAAGGAAGTTACGGACGGCTGAAGGGTGTTCAAAACTTTTATGGGATACTCAGCTAATTCAGATGGATCGGAAGTTCTGTCGATGGACTTATAAACATGACATTGCCCGAGAATGCAATCCAACAGTTTAAGGTTGATGGAATCAACTGTACAGTTCTTCCGTGCCAATATGGCCCTCCAAGCAAGCCAATCGGCATCGGCAATATTAGTGGATAGGTTGTAGAAGACTGCATTTATCAATTCATCCGGTGATTCAACAGTGGTGGCAAGCTGATCCATCTGCACAAAACCCTGTGTGTCAGATGACATTTTCCCATCCTGAAGAGCAAAAAGCTCCCGTGCGAAGTCAGCAGATCTGGAGTCCCCATTCAAGTAGGCACGCATGTTCGTTCTCAGTTTAAGAGTCTCCACGTGGCGCCAAAGGCCAGACGACGTCAGGCAGGCGCGGACAGCGTCAGCGCGTGTACCTTTAGGAATAAGTGGTAGAGCCTGCCTAAAGTCGCCTGTGAGGAGAAGGGTTACTCTACCCATGGGGTCAGAGGAGTCGCGGATGTCTTGGAGACTTCGGTCAAGTGCCACAAGGGCGCCCTTGTGTGTCATCGTGCACTCATCCCAAATTATAAGTTTGCATCTCCGCAGAACTTCAGCCTGTGGCGAATTCTTTGTTATGCTGCAGAGAAGAGTTTGTGACCGTCATAGATCAAGCGGCAACCTAAAAGCTGAATGAGCGGTTCTACCTCTCGGTAGCAACGTTTCAGCAATCCCGAAAGATGCGACCGCAATAGCGATCTCCCCACGACGCCGTACCTCTGCTAAGACTAATTTAGTAACAAAAGTTTTGGCATTTCCTCCGGGCGCATCTAAAAAGTATATACCTCCAGTGGGGCCGTTTGCTCTGTCTGTTATGGTAGTGAAAGCAACCCTCTGATCAGGTAGAAGTTTGGCCTCGTTTTCGGTAATGTATATGTTCAGCCCCTCGATGGAGTAGGATGTTTCCCGCACTAACTCAGTTGGTACAGTGTCACAACCGTCTCTGAGCGGTGGTGGTAAACCGTAAGTTGGTAAAGAGGCACCCCTCAGTTCGAAAAGAACATCTTCTAGGGCCATCAGCGCTCTGTTGAATATGAAGTCAGTGAAACCGCATTCAAATCCTGGGCTGTTACGCTGAACGGAGAACAGCACATCATCTGACATGAGGATCGCTTAGTTCGCATCGCAAAAGTTAAATGGCGAACAGCGTTCGAAGCCGTGATGGCGTTCACCCTCTGCCATGGCTGCATCCCATTGGAAGTGGTCTTCAAGCCATCCCAAACGGAACCATGCCTCTCTATAAGACTGACACTCTATGTCATTGACAGTGCGAATATCTGTGAAACTCGTTGGCCCAGAAATTTCATGAAGTAGAAGGCGGAGGTAAAAGCACTCCTGCTTGCTGGGGGGCACAGTATAAACGCGTCCAAGGCAAGAGTTAGACCTTACATCTGGATAACCCTCGACAGGGTCGCCAGCCTTTCACCGAACCCACCGGTTGTTTGACCACACGTAGTAGGACGGGACTTGGAGGTATATCAATGTTTTGGCAAAAGCATCTGTTGAGCATAATTTAAAGAAAACCGTTAGGGTTGTGTCTTTAGGGTTTTCCGCAACCTGCTGGGCGTTTTGTTCGATGCAATACATCCTCTGTCCATTTTCTAAGTGAACAGCAAACTGCACAATGACTGGAGCCCTTTGGTGTATGGTAAATCCGAAAATTCACAAAAAGGCCTCGCTATTGCTGAGGTAGCGTCCAGCCACGTAATCGGCTACCTCGTCAACGCAATTGTCGCGCCAGATACCGAAAACGGCTGCATCGCTGCCTTTATTAACGTACCTGCAGATGTACTTTATTGTCTTAACGGAGTGGCAGTATTCAACGTTTATGTGGGCTCCAAAAGTCTTGGACAGCAGCTGGCAATAAGGCACCACCCAATGATTGCCTAGAGTGTGCCCCTTAACTGTCACAGTTCTGCCGCCCTCAGCGGAGCTTCTATGTCTGTACAGTGGGTAACCATCCGTCGCCGTCTGCGTTTCTGAGATAAACTTACGGGGGTAACCCTTTGCGCAAGTGGGACCGCTTGACCAACATGACTTGCTTCGTAATTCGCGCCACAGGGGCCGTCTATCATATTGTGTTTAATGATTTCGTGGATCAAAGGATCCAGCGCAGGATCCTGAATTTCAGCAGAAATAAAATCGTCTATTTTGTTTGCGTCAACCTTATCGTTGAGCCACAGCAGAATGTGGGCATGAGGCAAACCGAGTTTCTGCCATTCCACTGTATAAATTTGACACTTAACGCGTCCGAAGACTTGCACTTTAAGGATTAAATCCATAAGCTTTACACAGCTGTAACCGGAAAACGCGGGCAATTAGGTCAGGGCGGTGTGAGTACTGCTGACATGGAAAAAGTTCGCGTTTGATTTCAACCCATTTCGGATTGCACGTGAACGTGACGAACAAATCAGGCCTCCCGTAATGACGGACATAGGTCATTGCGTCTTGTGTCCTTTCATGCATTTATCGAGGGCCACCAGTGTAAGAGGAAGGCAAAATGCACGGTTTGCCGAGATTGCGTGGGTCACCATCAGAACTCAGACCATCACGAAGGTGAATGTAGGAGTCGGTTCTAAGTTTGGATTGGTTTAACTTGATGAATTCATTACCTCTCCGATTTTTTTCAGCCATGTCAACAGCGAATTGAAGAAATAGTTGACGGCACCTGTGCAAGTGGTTAAATTCACCCTCCCTAGCCAAAAAACATGTATGCGTAGGAGACCATCTTTGAGGTCGACATGGAATCGCTGCTTGCCTGATATATTGGGATTTTGAAGTTGTACCCATCGCTTCCGTATGGGAAAAGAAGGGGGTACTGGAGACAGTCATATGAACGGTAGATCTCACTGATGCGTCGCAGACCACCGCCCCGGAACCTTATGACAATGTCACGGCTGTTATGCTCCTCACCGTGGATGACTGCGGTGACTTCATTACATGCAGGAGCATTGAAGCGACGCTCATGCTCACCGTGAGGCCGCCTGTCTGCAACGATGCCAACGCTGAAAGAGGGCGAAGAGTTGTTTTGCAACGCAAACTTTAAGCTTCGGGTGTAACTGTTAGTTTCGTGAAGCATGTCTTGTAGACGGAACAGAATGTCTCTACGGGGGCCGACGGAAATATCGCTAGGCAGAATGCCGAGACGCGCATCAACCTGCTCGTTGTAGTCAGCAAGATAGTAAATTTGTAGAAACTGAGGTGGCTCTCCCTGATCAACGAAAAGTGATCCCATTAAGTGGTAAACCTGGCCTTGCACTTTGAAAGGAGGCATCCATCCCCACTCACTAATAGCCTTCGCACCAAAAGACGTCATCTGGAAGCAACAGTTGTACTTCCGTATTGCTTCAAGAAAATGCCTTGACTCCGAAGTTGCACCCAGAAGGAGGTCCCTCGGCGGCTGGGGTGTTTGATTTTGCCCCCAGAGCAACAAAGCCCAGGTTGCTCACCGGCACACTTTTCTGCGTTGCAAAAAGTGCAAACTTTATCCATTTATTCATTTGTACGTCTCACTTAGCAGAATAGTTGATAGTGATTGTATGCGGCATTTGAACAAAATGACGCAGACGGCGAAGTTACGCCATTCAAAGAAGGTAGAATTTGCTAATTATTCGAGCCGTTGACACGTACTTCAGTGTTTTCTGCAGCCCAGACAGACGCAGTTATTTTCTAAGCGTAGCTTAGATGTGGCACAAGTATGGGGTACCTGGTGAGGATCGAACTAACTTTTTAGTCGTAACTGATCGAGCGAGACAAGCTTGCTAACCATTACACCACGCCGACATTTCTAACGCGACGGACAGTGGTTTGTGCAGAGCTTTCTAGGGCTCTGGCAGACGCAGTAGAGAGGGCCTTCCCAGCACGACGAACAGTGGTTTGTGCAGGGCTTTCTATGACTCTAGCAGATGCAGTGGAGCGGCCATTTCTAACGCGACTAACAGTGGTCTGTGCAGAGCTTTCTAAGGCTCTGGCAGAGGCGGTGGATAGGGCATTTCTAAAGCGACGATGCGCGGTTTCCTGGGGTTGTTCCGAAACTCTAGAGGCGGCTGTAGCCCTAGTATTCATAAGACGACGTGAAGTTCTTTGTTCGGGGCTTTTTAGACCCCTGAATCAAGCTTTGGCAGTGGCATCCCGCAAGCGACGAAGGTTTTTTTTTGTGCTGGGAACTGTGAAGCCCTCAACCTAGCCACGCGGACTGCGTCCTGAATTCTGAAGTGAACGTTCCTTAACTGAAAGCCTGGCACTGCGTATGGACATGGTTGAAGCCGCTGAAGCCAACCTTTCAGTCCGCGGCGCTTTCCGTAGATAAGCGAGCAGCTGAGCTCGAGGCCATCTGTGAAAGACGCAAAGAAGTCTGTTCAGGGGTTTCACTCGCCCTCGATGCTCTAGCAGCGGAGGCAGCTATCGTGCGCCGTCCCAAATGCTTCCTCCTTTTAGTTGGCATCCAAATGGTAAATACGTCAAATAGGGTAAAGCTTAAAAAGAGATTTCGACAAATCCAAAACGAAAAAACGTACACCGCTAACGTAGACGCAAAAAGAGGAACACCCAGTAAAATGAGTTCAGATGTTACTAAAGGGGAATTCGAAACTAAAAAAGTGGAAATTTAAAAAGGTAAACCAAGGGTAAATCCAAAAGGAAATGGGTTTTTAGTACAATTGGCTAACGTGTGTAGCGTTGGGTTGGAACTATAAACCAAAAAAGCAGCTAGAACACGTAACAAACAACCTTCGGTGTCCGAAGTAGGCGAATAAATTAAGCCAAGTGCGTGCACGTGGGCAACAATAAACGCAAAAGTGTGAAAGCACGCCCGAGTCACGCAATAGAGGTAGTTGACCTTGAGCGCACTTCCACATAAGCTGACGCGCGATCACGCGGGCGCTATAACGTGTGAGAAATCCTGCGCGATGATTGGACAGGCCCCAAGGTCAAGCTCTGTGAAAGCGACCAATGGGCTTGCAGCAGTCTCGGTATCGACACGAGGACTTGGTTGTACGCAGCTCTGTGTGTGCAAGGAAGTTACAAAAAAGATTGATCCGCGTGCAACTACGGTTATTTTTGCCGGAGAACTTTGAAATTTGACACACATAAAGGCGATATTAAGCCGCAAGTGTGTCGTAAATTTAATTTGAATCAAACCAAAACTATATATACTGTGCCAGTGAATGTGTTGAGAGGACTAAATCCTGTCTCTT